TTTAAATGGTGGGTCATTGCAGCAACAGCTAGCTAATCGAAATTTCAGAAAGAGAGAACCAAGAAACCAGTAGGGAAGTAGTTGTTAAAGTAACACTACGACAGATTTTTCCAGAACCGAAGAACAAGAATATCTAGAATGAAAAGATCACCATATGCCTGGGACAATGAACAAAAAAAGATCTCCAGGAAAACAAAGTCATCATCTTGAATTTCAGGCTATGAGTGATAAGGAGAAGATTATGTATGTTTCCAGAAAGAACATGCAGATTATATGAATGACCAAGAGTGCAATAGACTGCTCAAAAGCAACAAGAGAAGCTAGAGGGTGGTGGGAAAATGTCTTCAAAATGTTGAGAAAAAATAATTTGCAACCTAAAATTCTATATGCAACCAGACTATCAGTCAGGTGTGATCATTGAATAAAGCCATTTTCAAGCATATGGATGTCCCAGGATGACAGCTGACAGATTTGACTGCAAGGAAAACTGAGAGGTTCGGACAGCTTTTTGAGGGTGTAGGGAGATTTGGATGTTCAAGAACAAAACAAGTGGAAAAAACAAGGCGATTATTAACTCCAGAAAAAAGAAAACGTTGCACAAGAAAGAATACTTCTTGGCTCAGTATTGAATAAAATTTATTTAGTTATAATAATGAAAACATTGAATGTGTACTTAACTAAAAATTGTGATATATTATGAGGATGGAGGGAATGATACAAGAGTGTTTGTGAGATGAAAACCTTCACTGATCATAATAAGAAATCAACATATAATCTCTAAAATGAATGAATCAAAATTTTGCAGACTAAATTTATTATTTAAATATATATAAGTATATATATGGCGAGAATAAGGGACTACAATTTTTTGTTACTGGTATTTTTGCACTAATTGGCTGTTTACAAAAATTAATTTTAAAAATCTAAGACCCAGGCCAAACAGGGAAGCATATCTTAACTTTGGCAGGTTCTAAGGCACTTAAATTAAAAGAAAGTAAATCGTGATGAAATAAAAATACCTTGCCTTGATACTATGTGTTTTTGCCTTTCAAAAATGCTTGTGATAACCACAGTAGCAATGAGTACACATAATGCCCAAATTCTAGTTTCTAAACAAATGTCTTTTCTGAGTAAAAGCAATCAGAACTCTTTAGAGGAATGGCTGATTCCAGGGCTGGTGCAGGGAAGGTATAAGGTGAACTTTTTGTGCCAGAAAGCAAGAACAGGCTCAGAGGCTAATAGGGACACATTAAAAGGACCCAAAGCTAGTTTAAAGGGCTCCCCAGGCCACCATTAGGACAACTTGATCATTAAAAACACTAATGACTGTAACCTATTGTAAATCATTGAATAAATAAAATCCGAGAGTTCGTAGTGGCCGTCAAAAAAGAGAGAAAGAGAGAGAGAGGCACCCGGATGGCTCAGTCATTAAGCATCTGCCTTGGGCTCAGGTCATGATCCCAGGGCCCTGGGATCGAGTTCCACATTGGGCTCCTTGCTCAGCAGGGAGCCTGCTTCTCCCTCTGCCTGCCGCTCACCCCTGCTTGTGCGCTTACTCTCTCTCTCTCTGACAAATAAATAAATAAATAATCTTTAAAGACATTTTGGGGCTCAATTGTGGAAATTTGAATATGGACTGGATATGAGCTGATATTAGGAAATAATTGTTAATTATTGGGTGTGATAACAGCATTGTGGTTATGTAGAAGACTGTCCTTGTTTTTACAAGATGCATGTTGAAGCATTCAGGGGGTGAAATGTCATAACGACTGTAATTCCGAAATGGTCCAGCAAAAAATGGTCCAGCAAAAAATGGCCAGCTAGATAAACAAAGAGTACAAAATAGTAACAGTCATTGCATGTGGGTAGTGGCTGAGCTGACGTTCGTTCTATCTTTGCTTCAATTATTTCCATAGTTGGAGATTTTTTTAAATAAAAAGCTTAAAAATTGTTGAAGAAATAGCAGAACTAGAAAATCATTTTGCAACCAGTCTAATAATAACTAAGTAGGCAAGAGTCATCAATGGATCCTAAAACCATTGGGTGAAAATTTGAAGACAGGATATTTGGGATGGTCTCAGTGTATCTACCCATAGATTATTAGTTCCAAAAGGGGAACACTGGTAATTTTACAGTGAGAAGAACAGAAGACCCCACCTTAACCAGGGGCTTAAGGTGCCATCACCAGTAACAGGGCCACCAGACACCCTGTGTCTCCTAATGTGCCACACACAGAGGACACATTGCTTCTGTGCTTTTGGGTCCAAACATTTATAACCTGTATTATGCTAAATTCCTGAATTTGATAGTAATGCTGTGGCTTCATTTATATATTTTATTATTATTAACAGTGCTGTGATATATGCATATTACTTTATATGTCTATGAAGAGAAGGAATGATAAAGCAAATGTGACACATTTTACCAGTTGGTAAATACGGGCAAAAATTACACAAGAGTTCTTTCTACTATTCTTACAACTTTAAGTTTTAAATTATTTTGGAGGAGCACCTGGTTGGCTCAGTCTGTGGAGTATGCAACTCTTGATCTCCGGATTGTAAGTTTGAGCCCCCATGTTGGGTATAGAGATTACATATATACATACATAAATTAAAAAAAATAAATTATTTCACAGTAAAAAATTTTAGAAAAATCTAAGTTAGACCTAGACCAGTTGCAGAGGCAGCTTCTAATTTTGGTGGGACCTAAAAACTCAGGGACTAAGAGAAAAGTAAATCTTGATAAAGTTACTTTTATTTAAATACTTTTATTATCTTGATATTTCTTTTAGTGTGCAAGAATGCATTTAGAACTCCATCCTGTACACTTTCTCAAGCTGGCAGAGTTGGGAATCTAAGGAAGGGAAGGGGAGGTGAAGAGGTGTGGCCTAGCGAGTAGGGTGAGAACTGGGGTCTGTTCCCAGACACTCTGGTTCCCTGCCCAGTGTCCTTTCTTTCCAGTTGAGACTCCTCATCCTTATACCGGAAGTCCAATATATTGGAAGCACCCCAAAGAGCTATTGGGGAACCCCTTGGTCCCCCAGCATCTGCCTAGCACTGACACCTGTGTGCTTTATGTCTCCTGGGATTGTCTTCTAATTAATTCTCTGTCCCTAGATTCTAGACCACTCCATGCCCACTGTGACTGGCCTTCATTTTTCTTGTGTCTCTTTACACTGTAGTTTTAGCACAGTGCTGGATGAGGTGTGAGAGTACCGTCTATCCTTTCCGATCCATTGTCTTCAGAAAGCATTTAATAAATGCTCAGAAGAGAGGAGATGGTTAAGAGCAGATAAATGTTTGGCCTTCTAACAATCCTCGGGCTTAATGTGTACAGGCTATGAACAAACAAGCAAACAAACCAGGAGAACTTACAAAACACATTTCAGACAAGTAGAACATTTGACAATCGTGACTGTAGGGCTGAAATCCAGAGATGAGCTCCAGTTAGAGCAGGAGGACTCTGCTGTTCAGCCTCCCTCCGGCCTTTATCGTTGATTCTCTTCCCGAAGGAGTGTTTGTTCTCTTCGAGACCGTATTTGCTGGTCGTCTCAACTGGCCTGAAAACTTCTGGGGGAAGGGACAGCTTTTGTGGTTTTGTCCCCGTTTGATTTTTCTCCAGTTTCTGCATACCCTGCTCCTCCCACCTATGGCCGGCATCCAAGGCCCACAGAGCTGCCCACACTAAATGCCTCCGTCTCAATCATGGCACAGAGAGTGGCCCAGGGAGGAGGATGGAACACAGCTTCAGGGATTGATAGACCTGGGAGAGGAATTTATGGGCTGGGTGACGCATTTGGGCAAGTGTTTGACCTCAGGCAAGTCACACGGCCTCTGAGCCCCAGTTTCTTCTGCAAAATGGAGAGAAAATAAAACTAACTTCTCCCTGCAAAATGGCCAAGTGGATTAGTTCAGATGACTCGGGCCTCCAAGCTCATCCAGTGCTTCAAAATGGGCCACGGGGGGCATGTGCCCAACTCTGCTGTCCTCTGTGTACAGGGCCGCCCTTGGACGGAGGTAAAGGTTACTCCATCTGTCTTCTTCCATTCCCTCTTCACCTATCTCTGCAAATCGATTTAGGAGTAATCTGGTTAATATAAACAGCACCCATCTGGACTTGCCGGTCTTAATATTTATTCCCTAGGAGGCTGTAAGGAGGAGGCAGTAGAGCTCCCCCTCTCCAGTGCCAGACTGCCTGGGTTCAAATCCCGGCTCCACCACTGACTGGCCCTGTGAGCTTCGGCAAGGCGTATCCTAATACGCAGTATTATTATTAGAGGCCTGGAGCTGGAATATGTTAGCATTAGGGTTAGGGTTCAAATCCCAGGTCCACCATTTACTACCTGGGTGACCTCATGCAAGATACTTAACCTCTGTGTGCCTCAGTTTCCTCCTCACCTGTACATGCGAATTGTATCAATAGTACCTTCCACACACGAGACCATCGGGGCAGATAGTAGGCGCTCTTATTTGTTTATTTAAACAAAGTCATCTTTCCAGGTGTGGAGGTTGGCTCCGGGAGGAAGGAGAGGATGCACCCGGCTGGCTTTTTAAACAAAAGGTGCTTGGCTCCCCTGCTCGCTCAAGCCTCGGGAAAGTCAGGAAGACCCGGGACCCGCCTCCCCGCCCCCGTTTGGCCCCGCCCCGCCCCGCCCCCACCTCACCTGGTCCCGCCCCGCCCCTCCTAGCCCTGCCCCTGCGCTAGTCTCGCGCACTTTCAGAGTGCGCGAGCTCGGGCCGGGACCCGGGGCCGACGGTTGGTCGGGCGAAGCCATCTGTTACGCTACGTGGGGAGAGCCAACAGCCTAGGCGTCCTTATTTTTTCAACTTTTAGCTTTTCTGGTCCGGGTTGCTGGTCTTATTGTAGCCCTTAAATCCGTGCCGTTTGCTCAGCCTCCCAGCAGGGAGCTCCGCCTCTCTGGGGAGAAGGCCGTTGTGCCTCCGTGCGGCGTCCTTCCCCTCCTGACGCGGACCGGTGGGCGAGGACGACGGCCGGCGGGGGGAGGAGGCGGCCCTAGCGCCATTTTGTGGGAGCGAAGCGGTAGCTGGGCTGCTCTTGGATCCCTCGCTGCTTCGGTTTCCCTGTCGGGCTTCCTAGCAGCGGCCTAGCGGGTGAGTCGCGGACGCTTCTCACTGAGGACGCCCTAGGCGTCCCGGCTCCCGCGTTGCGCGGCCCGAGGCGGACGCGGCGGGTTCCGCCTCCGCCCCGGGAAGGGAGCCGTGGGGCTGGGCCTGCCTCGTCCTGCCCGAGCGGGCTCGCGCGGGCGCGTCGTTAGGGAACTTGGCGCCGGGTGGCAGCCGGCGCCGAGGCAGGGACGCTTGGCCCGTGGGGCCGTGCAGCCCGAGGCGGAGCTTTGGCCTGGCCTCCGGGCCCGGGCCATGGCCCTGGGCCCTCCGGCGCTTGGCACGCCGGGGGACCCCCGCCAGCCTAGGCCCCGGGTCCCCGCGTCTGCACCTCGGGTTGCGCTTAAAAATTCCTCCCTCGGCCGCCACGCACTGGCTTCTGGGAGGTAGCGGCCCGCGTCGGGAAGGACCTGTAGTCGCTGTCCTTGGTCAACTTTGGAGAGCCCCCCCCCCGGAAGTCCCACAATGAGGAACAGGGAGGAACTTTTTTCCTGCTCTCTTCACCTGGCTCACTGCTTCTGTTCCTCCTCAAGACACAGCTTCTGCATCGCGTTCGTAGGGAAATGTGCTCTCATTCCCACACACGTTTCAGCTTAGGTTCTCCTCGGCCCCCAAGATGATTGACTTCTTTCCAGTAGCATATATCACGGTTGTAATAAATGAATGGCTTGTTTGCTATCATCTCTGCGTCCCCTCCCCCGCGCCCCTTGTAGCCAGCCTGCCCACTGGGACTGACGGGTTGCAGCATCTGATGCCTGTTTATGGCAGGAATGAACTAACAAGGCACTATCCTTGCCGTTATCTCATTTCAGTGATAACCAACATCTATGAGAACCCAAACCCGAAAGTTTTTCTAGAAGTCCTAGAACATTGACATGGTAGTGTTTATTAATCAGGTGGTTTTTAAGGAAACAGTTACTTTGACATGAGTGTTCGTTATTAATATTTCTTTTTCCTTTAAGAAAAATAAGAAAAGATGTCTGAATATATTCGGGTAACCGAAGATGAGAATGACGAGCCCATTGAAATACCATCAGAAGACGATGGGACAGTGCTGCTGTCCACAGTTACAGCCCAGTTTCCCGGGGCATGTGGACTGCGCTACAGGAATCCAGTGTCCCAGTGTATGAGAGGTGTCCGGCTGGTAGAAGGAATTCTGCATGCCCCTGATGCTGGCTGGGGAAATCTGGTATATGTTGTCAACTATCCCAAAGGTTTGTTGCCATTTGCTCTTGCAACGCTAAAGTATAGTCATGTTTGTGTCTCCTAAGTTGGATTATGGCCTCATTTCACGGCGTCTCCTATAACACAATATTCTTTAAACGTTACTAATAGACTAGTTTGGAACGCCAGTACTCTAAATTAGTAAAAATTGGAAATACAGAACATTTTTTAAAGAAAAAAACTACTTAATTATTTGAACAAGTATTGCCAACTTAATGCCAAATTTAAGGAACAGCTAAGAATGTTTTGCAATGATCAGTCTGTGGTAAATAGATTCTTTTTAAAGTGCCCGATACTTTGTTCTGGTTTCTTATATCACTCATTCAGTTAATCTGATTTTTCCATCCTTAAATGATTATCAGTTGCAGTAATCCAAATCTTGAATTAGTGCAATTATAATTTGGGGTTTTGGTCTTACTCTCACTGTCACGTATCCCTGGTGTTCTAAATCTTAAAAAAGGAAACATGAAGTTTGTGGAGGAAACAGATACATTTTAGCAATAAGAATTTGCTTTAGTTGATACATGTCTGTTACTTTTATTATAACTCGATATTGCAACAAAGTATTATTGGTTAGTATGCAAGACATTGACTTAAACTTTGAGAACATTTTTAACAGCATCAACTTGGTTTTTCTTTAGTATGCTGTTACCCAAATCTAAAATGTCATTTAGATGATGATATGTCGATATAGGTTCATCAGTTGTAACAAATGTACCATCTTAGATGGGGCAGGAATACCATGATAATGGGGGAAGCTATGCACCTGTAGAGGTAAAAAGAGGGTTTGGGAAATCTCTGCCTTCCTTTCCATTTTGCTGGGGACCTAAAACTGCTCTAAAAAATAAAGCCTAGGGGCGCCTGGGTGGCTCAGTCAGTTGGGCGTCTGCCTTCAGCTTGCGTTGTGATCTCGGGGTCCTGGGATTGAGCCCCACATCAGGCTCTCTGCTCAGTTGGGTGTCTGCTTCTCCCTCTCCCTCTGTGTGCGCTCTCTCTCAAAAAATGAATGATAAATCTTTAAAATAAAATAAAAAATAAAGGTCTATTTTTTAAAATGTCATTTAGTTCCTCCTCTTCCCTTCCAAATACTGTTTTTTTAAAATAACCCAAGACTTTTTTTTTAATTACAAAATCAACATGAGTTCATTGTTGAAAGTTTAGAAAAGAAAGAAAAAGAAAATTGAAATCACCCTTAAATCCACAGCTGGAGATAAAAGTTTGATCCGCTTTTTGGTATATAACTTTTAAGTTATGGGCTTTAAAATAATTAAGCAAATCTATTTAATAGGCACAAAGATAGTACAGCATGGTCTTTTGGCCTGGTTTTTTTTTTTCCTTACTGTGTTTTTAAAGTCGAAGTGAAGTAGAATTATTTTTGTTTTGTTGTGCCTTTTGAGAGGGGAGAACAAACCATCATAATCTTGAGCTCTCACAAAACCAGAGGTGGGAGTCCCTGCCTTTGCACCAGCAAAGCCCCTCAGCCACTTCCTCAGTCCCTCTGTCTGTCTTTGAGAGCTGACCTCTCTCGTTGCCAAAAGTTTTTAGTATCTTATTCTTAGAATCTTTTTGCTTATCGTTGTTAAATGTAGGGGCTAATGTGCTTTAAGACATGTGAAGTGAGGAGTTCTGAAAGGTTTCTGCTCATTTTCTTTAGATAACAAAAGAAAAATGGATGAGACAGATGCTTCATCAGCAGTGAAAGTGAAAAGAGCTGTCCAGAAAACGTCTGATTTAATAGTGTTGGGTCTTCCATGGAAAACGACTGAACAGGATCTAAAAGAATATTTTAGTACCTTTGGAGAAGTTCTTATGGTTCAGGTAAACTTTGATTTCATATAACGATTTCTCTCTGCCCATAAATGAACATCCAGAATTCCTGTAGTTCGGTAACCCTGCCCTTCATGCTCAGCAGACAGTGTTTTTAATATTTATTACATGCATGCATAGGGGATGCTGAAAAGAAATTTGGGTTGGGGTGCCTGGCGGGCTCAATGGGTAGAGTACACAACTCTTGATCTCAGAGTCGTGAGTTCAAGCCCTATGTTGGGCCTAGAACCTACTTAAACAAAAACAAAATTTGGGTTGTACTGTTTCTCTTTATGCATATAACCTGTGTTTTTGCCTTTCACGTTATAAAATTCTACATAAAAGCTTAAGGGAAGGTGGTGACAGTCTATTTCTTTCTCTTTTTCTTTTTTTTAAGATTTTGTTTATTTGAGAGAGCGTGAGCGCCAAGAGCAGGGGTAGGGGCAAAGGGAGAGGGAGAAGCAGACTCCCCACTGAGCAGGGAGCCCAGTGCAGGGCTTGATCCCAGGACCCTGAGATCATAACCTGGGCCAAAGTCAGACACGTAACTGATTGAGCCACTTAGGCGCTCCATAGCCTATTTCTTTGTAACTTATATTGCTGGGAGATTTTAAAACACTTATTTTTAAAGGTGGGGGGCATTTGGCTGGCTCAGTCGAGATCATGTGACTCTTGATCTCAGGGTTGTGAGTTGGAACCCCACACTGGGTGTAGAGATTACTAAAATAACTCTAAAAAGAAAAACACTGGGGGCTCCTGGGTGGCTCAGTCGTTAGGTGTCTGCCTTAGGCTCAGGTCATGATCACAGGATCCTGGGATTGAGCCCCACATCTGGCTCCCTGCTCGGCAGGAAGCCTGCTTCTCCCTCTCCCACTCCCCCTGCTTGTGTTCCCTTTCTCGCTGTGTCTCTCTCTGTCAAATAAATAAAATCTTTAAAAAAAAAAAAATAACTTGGTTTAAGTTTTAATTAAGCAGTTCCATCGAAGTAAAGCCCTTCAAATTACTAAGGAACTGATTTGGGTGTGTGTGTGTGTTTCTAGTATATTTCATTGGTTTTTTTTTTTTCCCCCCTCTAGGTCAAGAAAGATATTAAAACTGGCCATTCAAAGGGGTTTGGCTTTGTTCGTTTTACGGAATATGAAACCCAGGTTAAAGTAATGTCACAGCGACATATGATAGATGGACGGTGGTGTGACTGTAAACTTCCTAATTCTAAGGTACTTTGCTCTTTTTTCCTGTGCTTTGGGAATTTTTGCTGACAGACTTCCTTAGAAGACACTGTGAAACAATGCATAAAATGCACTCTTAAAAGGTGGTGGCTGGTGAATTCCTGAAACCCTTTGCCTTGTTAAAGCCTCAGGACCTTCATGCGTGCTGAATATTTTGTTTGAAATCTTTAGTTTATTACCTCTCTGAACTAAAAGTTTGTTTTATTCTGCTCTCTTGTTATTTCTAGTGAGTGGAGAGTTTACATAGTTACAGGTTTAAAACACAAGGACAATGAGAATACATTAATCTTGTCACGAAGGCCTGACTGGTTCCAAGCAAGCAAGACTGACTTGGAGAGTTAGCCTCTTTGCCAGGGTGTTTCTGTCATTGACTTTCCTTAATCCAAATACATAGTCTTTTTTTTTTTTTTTAAGATTTTATTTATTTATTTGATAGAGACACAGCAAGAGAGGGAACACAAGCAGGGGGAGTGGGAGAGGGAGAAGCAGGCTTCCTGCTGAGCAGGGAGCCCATTGCGGGGCTCAGTCCTAGGACCCTGGGATCCTGACCTGAGGCAAAGGCAGATGCTTAATGACTGAGCCGCCCAGGTGCCCCCAAATACACAGTCTTGAGCTTTAAACTTTAAAATGTGGGAGCGCCTGGCAGGGTCAGTTGGTAGAGCGTGTGACTCTTGATCTCGGGTTTGTGAGTTCAAGCCCCATGCTGGGTGTAGCAAGAACTTAGATCTTTAAAAAAGAAATAAAATGTTATTCTTCACTCTGAAGTCTTAAAGAGCAGTGCTAATGCAGAAAACTAAGAATGTACCTCCTTTTTAATGACTAACATAAAAGGCAGGTAACTTTTGTTACATCCACTATCATCATGCTCTTTTCATGGCTTGTAAAATATTCTCCTTTTTCTTTTCTTTCCATTCGCCCAGCAAAGCCCAGACGAGCCTCTGAGAAGCAGGAAGGTGTTCGTCGGGCGCTGTACAGAGGACATGACCGCCGACGAGCTGCGTCAGTTCTTCTGCCAGTATGGAGAAGTGGTAGATGTCTTCATTCCCAAACCGTTCCGGGCCTTTGCCTTTGTTACCTTTGCAGATGATCAGGTATTTTTCTCTTGAATAATTTTGTCCCAGCTCTGTTAGGTAATTTGTCTTGAACTTCTCCCACCCAGCTAATTGCCATCCTTAGCTAAGCTTTCTGACCTTGTGAGCTGTGGGATATATGGGTCTAGATAGTTGTGATAATCCCTTGAGATATTTTTTCAGTATGTGGCATTGACCTGGGAGTGTTGTATGTGTTGAAAATAAGCTGACAAATCCCTGCTGCCTTACTAGAGCTAAAGGCGATTTTATGGGTTTAAATGAAATGAGCATTCATTGCTTGTTTTTCCTCCAGCTTAGACAGTGGCTTGAAATCTTAAGTGTTATTGCTACTTTGATGTGTGAGTCAGTGGTTTAATCTCCTTTATTTGCACCCCTTATTTCTTATAGGTTGCCCAGTCTCTTTGTGGAGAGGACTTGATCATTAAAGGAATCAGCGTACATATATCCAATGCTGAACCTAAGCACAATAGCAATAGACAGTTAGAAAGAAGTGGAAGATTTGGTGGTAATCCAGGTGGCTTTGGGAATCAGGGTGGGTTTGGTAACAGTCGAGGGGGTGGAGCTGGCTTGGGAAACAATCAGGGTAGTAATATGGGTGGAGGGATGAACTTTGGCGCCTTTAGCATCAATCCAGCGATGATGGCTGCAGCCCAGGCAGCGCTGCAGAGCAGCTGGGGCATGATGGGCATGTTAGCCAGTCAGCAGAACCAGTCGGGCCCATCAGGTAACAACCAAAGCCAAGGCAACATGCAGAGGGAGCCAAATCAGGCCTTTGGTTCTGGAAATAACTCCTATAGCGGTTCTAATTCAGGTGCAGCAATTGGTTGGGGATCCGCATCAAATGCAGGGTCTGGCAGCGGTTTTAATGGAGGGTTTGGCTCAAGCATGGATTCTAAATCTTCTGGCTGGGGGATGTAGACAGTGGGGTTGGTAGAGACTGGTGGGAATTCAAATTTTTCTAAACACATGGTAAGTATATTGTAAAATACATATGTACTAAGAATTTTCAAAATTGGTTTGTTCAGTGTGGAGTATATTCAGCAGTATTTTTGACATTTTTCTTTAGAAAAAGAGGAAAAGCTAAAGGAATTTTATAAGTTTTGTTACATAAAGGGTTGAAATATTGAGTGTTTGAAAGTGAACTGCTGTTTGCCTGATGGGTAAAAACCAACACACTACAATTGATATCAAAAGGTTTCTCCTGTAATCTTTTATCCCTGGACTTGTCAAGTGAATTCTTTGCATGTTCAAATGGAAACCATTGATTAGAACTACATTCTTTTCTCCTTGTTTTAATTTGAACCCCACCATATGGATTTCTCCCTTAGGAAAATCTCCTTTTTGGAGATCATGGTGTCACAGTGTTTGGTTCTTTTGTTTTTGTTTTTGTTTTTGTTTTTAACACTTGTCTCCCTTCACATGCAAAAGTACAATATGAAGCCTTCATTTAATCTCTGCAGTTCATCTCATTTCAAATGTTTATGGAAGAAGCACTTCATTGAAAGTAGTGCTGTAAATGTTCTGCCATAGGAATACTTCTGTCTGCACGCTTTCTCATTCAAGGACTCGTCAGCACGCTGCACAGGCCGCGTCTTTGACGGTGGGTGTCCCATTTTTATCCGCTACTCTTTATTTCATGGAGTCGTATCAACGCTATGAACGCAAGGCTGTGATATGGAACCAGAAGGCTGTTTGAACTTTTGAAACCTTGTGTGGGATTGATGGTGGTGCCGAGGCATGAAAGGCTAGTATGAGCGAGAAAAGGAGAGAGCGCGTGCAGAGACTTGGTGGTGCATAATGGATATTTTTTAACTTGGCGAGATGTGTCTCTCAATCCTGTGGCTTTGGTGAGAGAGTGTGCAGAGAGCAATGATAGCAAATAATGTACGAATGTTTTTTGCATTCAAAGGACATCCACATCTGTTGGAAGACTTGAAGTGAGTTTTGTTCTTAGGTAACCCGCGTCAGCTGAATGTGTTAAGTGAAACGATACTTGTACCCCCCCCACCCCTCCGTCAACTGCTGTGAATGCTGTATGGTGTGTGCTCTCTTCTGTTACTGACCTGTAAGTGTGCTCATGTGAACTGAAGCTGGTGGCTTGAGAACATGGACTGAGCTTGTGGCGTGCTTTGCAGGAGTACTTGGAAGCAGAGTTCACCAGTGAGCTCGGGGTGTCGCAAAGAAGGGTGGAGGTTCCTATGTCTGTTAGCCACCCATGAGAATGCTGTCTGATGCAGTTCTGTGTCCTGTGCTTGGATGCTTTTTATAAGAGTTGTCAATGTTGGAAATTCTTAAATAAAACTGATTTAAATAATATGTGTCTTTGTTTTGCAGCCCTGAATGCAAAGAATTCATAGCAGTTAATTCCCCTTTTTTGACCCTTTTGCGATGGAACTTTCATAAAGTTTCTTGGCAATAGTTTATTTTGCTTCAAATAAACTTATTTGAAAAGTTGTCTCAAGTCAAATGGATTCATCACCTGTCATGCATTGACACCTGATACCCAGACTTAATTGCTATTTGTTCTTGCATTGTCCAAAGTGAAAGTTTTTTTTTTCTTTTTAAATCTAGTTTTTAATAAGTCTGGGTGACCACACCTAAAATGGTAAGCAGTACCCTCCAGCTTTTTATTAGTGCCTCTGTGCATTTGGGTGATGTTCTATTTACATGGCTTGTATAAATATCCATTGGGAATCATGCCTTCTAAAAATATTCTTATTTGAGGGAGTGGGAAAAACAATGTTAATTATTTTCAAATGCTTTGTAGCAAAGCATAGCAGTCGAAAAGAAGGGAATATCAGCACCTTTCTAGTTCGGGATTGAAAAGTGGAATTAATTGCAGTAGGGATAAAGTAGAAGAAACCACAAATTATCTTGTGCCTGAATCCATTACAAAGCCTGATAGCTTTAAGAACTAGCAGGGTGGGTTGTCTGTCTGGAAGTGTTAAGTGAAATGGGCTTTGTCCTCCGCAAGTGGGGGTTGAATAAAATCGTTTACAAACTCAGAGTAGACTCTCACGACGCATTGTGAAGTATGTAAAAGCAATAATCTATTGATTCTCTGTTGTACTTTTTATGTAACTACTGTGAGGGTTGAGCTTGTTTTCTGATGGAAGAATGAACAGTTTTTGTGTTGGTAGCTTTACCTGATGCCCTTATCTGATTAGATTATGATAAATAGGTTTGTCATTTTGCAAGTTACGTGTTTTAACTTTTAGAAATGAAGTCGTCCTTTAGACTTGTGATCGCCACGTTGTTTCGTTATTCAGTTTCCTCTGTAAAAGGATCTTGCGTTGTTTTAATTTTTTTTCTGCATCTAAGTTGCATGATTTCCAAACCCTGTACCATCTGAATTTTGCATTTTAGCACTTGCACTATTACTCAGCAGCAGTAACATGGTAACACTTAAAATGGTATTCGGGGACCTCCAAAGACTAAACTGACAAGCCTCCAAGGAGCCCGGGGTAAGTTCACTTGTCAATGGCATGGTTTTAATCCCTTATTTACACTTGTTGTAAATCTAGTTACCCGTCTTAGAAGGCTTTCAGTGTGGAGCAGCCTTCTGTTAACATGTTTGTGATACCAGTAGCTGTGGGTATTTAATTCTACCCTAAAAAAAAAAAAAGAAAAAATGAAGTCTAGAAGTAAACTATTTGGCAAAGATTTTGTTTTTAAAAGTCTATTTGGTCATCTCAATGCATTCATTCTCAAAACTTTTTTGAACCAGTTGAATAAAAAATTTGTTGCCACCACAGTTTAGTGTCTGGAGTCTTACTGGAAAAATACAATTTCTTTTTTATATGTGACAAAGGTGATGGAAAGTTACCTTTAAAAAGTGAGTCTCAAGAAGTTCCCCTTTAATGTGCACAAGAGAAATTGGGCCAAAACTCACAATGAATTTTTACGAGTGATAATTATTTGGCTAGAATGAAACCCTTTGTTAAATGTTAACCTATTAAAACTTTTTAAGGAGGAACAGCCAACAAAAATGACATGAGATTTTTAAGGTTGAGTCGGCTTAAATTGTGTCCTTAGGAAAAAGAAGATGTATGTGATAATTAGAATAATTTGTTGTTGAGTACTAGGTGAGTAGCTCTTAATTGTGTATGAGTTCTATACTTTACTCAGCTATTGTATGATTTGTGATCCGTTGTTCGTTAAGTGTGCCCAAGTATTTCCATGTTCGTTGTAAGAAGAAAACACTATAGATTTATCTATAATAACACCACTGAATTCTAATGTATTTCTTCTTAAGGAAATGGCACATTCAATTCAGCGTTTTTCTGTATGTGAACATTATTTAGGCTATTTCCAAGTGCCAGGAACATCCTCACAGCTAAGATAAATTCTTAACATCGGAATTACTAGGTCAAAGACTATGCATGCTTTCAAGGCTTTTCAAATATATTGCCAAATTGTCCTTTAGAAAATGTGTGTTGTCTTTGACAATGTGAAATAGTGCTATTCCATGTTTTTTTTGTCTGCCAATTTGGTAAGTGAAAAATTAGATCTCACCAATTTGTGGTATTGGTTTTTAGACATGGGAGTCAGTCAGTACCTAAGCCAAAGTATCGATGTGTCCAGTTTATTTACAAAAAATCATGATTCAGTGTTATCCCTGAGCCAATATTGCTATAATAGATAAAGCTGTGTTAGAGATCAGTAAGAACAAGCCCCGACATGGTGGAAACGTAGTCAGAGAACATGAACAGGCAATTCGTAGAAATGTAGATAACCAGTACAAAATATACTGGACTTTGTAAGTAATTAAATGCAGATTTAACCAGCGAGTTTCTCTTGGATTGGCAAAAGTGATCCCACCTAATGGTCTGTGTCCCCTTGAATCAAAGAGTAAGAGACGAAAAACCTGGCGAAGGAGAAGCGCCCGGAATGGCAGTCTGACCCATGGTGTGGCAGTGGTTTGGGGGTTAGAGCGACAACTGCTGTGTTCGTGTCTCTCAGGCCACATGGGGCTGCTAAGACCTTTTACAGGAATTTTTAAAATTAAGGAATCACTGAAGACCTACAAATTAAAAATTGTTAATTATGTTCTTGATCCAGGGAATATAGCTAATAACTTTGGTGTAGACTCCATACTGATTTGCTTCCCCACAATTAATGGAACCCCAGGACACTGTTCCTCCCACAAACCATCTCTGTGTCTCATTACCTAGAAACACCAACGCCCCCCCCCCGTCCCCTTTACAACTGTCCTTGCCCCCACCTTCTCAGCCAGCACAAAACGTGTTCTCCGTTACCCCTCCCCCTGGATAGGAGTGCTTCTCATACGCAGCAGTACATTTCTGATGGTCGACAATGGTATGTCAACAAACATTAGATTTCTGGCAAGAAAAAACCCCTCTGGGTTAATCCCCATCCAGATGCGGTTCCAATGTCATTTGTCCTCATGAAGGATTCAGCTTCCTTTCCTGGCAAACAGGCAGGTTGTTGTTATTGATTACAACTCTTCTTCAATTTAATCAGTGCTATGTCGTTATCAAAACCAGCATCGTGAGTATAACCTTCATGTATAAAAATGGCCTCGGCCCAGGCTTGTGTGTAATGAGCTGACAGTCTCTTCAGGGTACCCATTCTGATGTCTAAGGAGGAGGCAGCTGCTTTCTGCACGTATACAGCCTGAGCAGCTATTAGGATCCAGCTGTCCTGCAGGAGTGCACCCGCTGCTGTAGCTTGGCCTAATAACAGGACTTGCCAGGGGAAATCACCAAGCTTTGCCTTCTGCCCTCCATATATACGACCTCCTATGGTACGAGTTGATATTCCAGAAACTGGGGAAAGAAGCAGATAGAGCCTTTATAGAAACCGGGCGGTGGTTTTTCCCACAGTTATTACCACTTTGGAATTGTGTCTGATGTCATCCAAAAGTTACCTCGGGTTGATTGGGTGCCCACCTAAACAGGTGAGGCTGCTTTAAAACACAGTTCAAAGACCCGATAAAACCTCTTGGTAAAAATGAGGTGAGTGAAAATTAACTTTTAGAACTAATTTGTTTTGCTAAAATAATTTGGTCTACACAATTGGGAAAATTAATAGGGCAAACAGGAATTGTCTGAGCTGATGTACTGGGTGATGTGATTAGAAAGTGAAAGGAAATGACCTTTTCATTGCTTGTTTTCCTACTTGTAAAATGGGGTATTTACCATGTAGTTCTGGGAAAGCAGGAACTAAGGTCACTATCCCCAGGATTTGCAAAATTCGTTTCACCTTTGAACATAACAAATGTTTTAAAAATCAGAATGTTGCAGTTGTAGCCAGGAACCTTCAGGTTCAGAAATTATTTTTGGTCTAGTTGATGCTTCCAAACTAAATTTACTGTGTATGGCTAACTGAATCTGCTCATTAATGTAGCAGCTATGTTTCCTGTTGTGTCAGAATACTGGCATTAACACTTACAAATGTTGTGTCAGCTAAGATATTTTTTTAAAACAATTTAAGCCAAATAACAAAGGAGTAATGAATATATTACCACCTTATTTTTTTTAATCACTGTACCCAACCTTATCTTCAGAGTCAATTCTGGTAAAAAAAATTTTTTGAGTACTATTAAAAAGCAAATTGCATTAATGTTTAAAAACTAGATGTCATTTAAAACAATTGCTTAGGGAAATAATGAAGTTATTAGCTTTGGGGTTTTAATAGTTATACAGAGAAAAGTAACTCCGCAGCAGAACTCGTGTTTATAAATGTAAAAGTGGTTCAAGATAATTTTTAAAATCAATTATTTATGCTTGCCTAGTTATAAGGTCAGAAATAATCAAGTGACTGATGAAGTCAGCACCTAACAACCTCTCCGTCCGGAAAGGGGGTTCGATGAGAACGTATTATTTGGAGATAACAACTTGGTGTAAGAGCCAAGTGCTGAAGTTCCATTTCTGCCCACCACAGCTAAAGCTCTGCTGATGTCTCCCACCCAGTTCTACTTCCATCAGTTACGAATCTCTTGTATAAATGTATCCATTACCAGGCTCACAGACTGGGAGTGATGTTTCTCCTTTGGAGCTCGTCCAGAATCCATCAGCCTCACACACATTTACCTGCAAATCATTGGAAAAGCAAAAATGTTTAACTGCATGTATAAGGTGGTTGTCATTTGCTTGAATACCCCCTTGAAAAATGTTGATTCTTGAGCATCAGTGGGAAATAGAGGTGTCTGAATAACCATTTTACATGATTTCATAAATAGGAGGTCTCTGCATTAACCATGTTTTGCTTGCAAAGTGGAAACCTTTTAGATGTGTAACTTGAATATGTATCAAGATCTCAAGTGCTTAATGATAAGGTTTTGACTTGTTAAATTAAACCATTTGGAATATATTGTGTGTTTGTAGTAGTCATTTACTAGATATCTGTTTTCAGATTCCTGCAAATTGACATTAAAGTCACTTCAGCTGTAATATTTCACTTAGTGGGTGGAAGAAGTGCCTTTTAATCTTTTGTGTAGCCTTAGCCAAAAATGTCGGCTCAAGTTTATTTTCGGATCGTGATGGCTTTGGTTCAAATATCACGCACCCCCAACTTTGAAGAGTTGGCTTCCCATCATCAGGTGTCATTGTGTAGAAGATTTCCTTACAGTGGTACTGAATCACCGCTTTGTACGTGGTCACTTCGGGGCCTGTGGTGTACCCGCTTGGCCGCTGGCTAGGTCATCAGGAGGGCCACAGTCAACTACTAGAGAACACGGGAGGAGGGGGCCAGTGAGAAGACTGACAGGTGGTTGTGCTCGGGGTGCTGGAGCTCGGAGCCATATTCATCACCCCAGCCCACGCCACCCCCGTGCGGTGGACATCCTCCATCTCTCTGAAGAGGGAATCGCCTTAGTGTGATTTTAAAGACAACCTCTCCTCCCTGTTCTGAACTAAATGGCTAGAGTGAGGTGAGGCCCCTGGGGTAGGAGCCCTTTGATTCATAAAGGAAGGGAGTTCGAAACCACTTGGACTCCTTAGCGCCCTGACTTTTTAAGATTTTACTAATTTGACAGCACAAGCCAGGGGGAGAGGGAGAAGCAGGCTTCCCGCTGAGCAGGGAGCCCGATGCGGGACTCAATCCCAGGACCCTGGGATCGTGACCTGAACCGAAGGCAGACGCTTCACCGAGTCATCCAGGTGCCGGGCGCCCTGACTTCTAACCTCCAGGTCTGCTGCAAGCCGCCACACGGAAGAACTGGGCCAGCCTGCACGTTCCTGCCCGGGCTGGATCCCGGGAAAATGGTCCTTGGTTTGCAGTTCGGTCGGCCTTAAAGGTCAAAGAACAATACAAAGAAGGACTTGGCTGCTGCTTAGGTTCCTTTTCATAAATGTGTAGGGGACCCGAAAGTCATAATACCTTGACTTTGCATTAAAATGCACACCTGTGGGGACATAACTAATGTGAAATAACTGCCCAGTTTAGGATCCCAAGTGACTGCAGTCTAGAAGTCTGGTTCCCACAGTAGAGCTAAAATCGATGGATTTCTCCCTGGATATTTTAAAAGGTTACGTTTAAGTAGTTTTCCGCAACTTCATAGCTGTGTGCCTGGTTCTGTGCCAAGTGCTGTCCACTTCTCTGTAGAGATGCCCACACCCAACTCACTTAAGTGGCCCGGCTGGGGTTCATATCCAGACCTCTCCTAGCTCTACTGCTTTTGAACTAAGGATAGACAGTCTCATTGGTGGGAATGTAAATTTATGAAATGAAAATATTTAAATTCCCTAGGAATTCTGTAGAAACGTTTGCATGAAGTATGCACAAATATATTTACAGGGGCGTTCACTACGGCAGTGTATGTAATAGTGAAAATCTGGGAGCACTGCGGTGGGGGCGCCATGCTGTCGTTAACAGGGATGAGTGAGCGGCTCTGCTAATACTTGGATTGATATGGAAAGAGATCCCCACGACATGGAGGGAAAGAGCACAGTGCGATCAGACTTAGTATCCCATTTTGGTTAAAAAGTATATAATAGCAGGGGCGCCTGGGTGACTCACTGGGTGAAGCGACTGCCTTCAGCTCCGGTCGTGATCCTGGGGTCCTGGGATCGAGTCCTGCATTGGGGGGGGCTCCCTGCTCAGCCAGAGGCCTGCTTCTCCCTCTGCCCCTCCCCCTGCTTGTGCTCTTGGTGTCTGTTAAATGAATAAATGTTTTTAAATCCTAAAAAAATGTAATTTTTAAAAAGTATATAATAGTGAAATCCGTTCGTGTATACAGCATAGGAATGAAGGAATGGGCCCTAAACCCTCAGCAGTAGTTTGGGGATTTGGGCAAGAGAGGTTCTCACTGTGTTTTTGTAAATTTATTTTTTCTAATTAACATGTATTTTATAATTGAAAAAATATTTAAAATAAGACGGACAAAATGGTAATGTACCCCCTCACCCCAGTTTGGTGTGTGTGCGTACGCACGTGTGAGAGATGTGTGTGATTGGAGGGATGTGATAACAGTGGGATTGGGGGAATTAAAAGGTCTCATTTTCTCTTTCCCATCCTCAATGAATATTTTACACTTGGAAAAATATTTTTAAAGATCATGCTTTTCCAAAGGAAATACTTTTCCTGGTAGCTTGGTTCCGTTTGAACCTGTAAGTGCCCAGAGAGGCTGGGGAAGAGAAACAAATTTGAAATTCAGTCCCTGATAAGGAGACCGTTTCAGAAAACAACAGAAGCAGTGATCAAAGCAGGCAAAGCAGCAGAAGCCGTCCCAGAACCCATGGTCACGTGGCCTTACTGCTGCACTTGGGCATCGGCTGGTCCCAAGATCCAACTTTCTGACAGACCGCAGCAAATGATTTCAGGGGCAAATCACCCTAAAGAAGAATTCAGCAAATATTACTTACCTTGTTTATATCATGATGCCACACCCCAAGGCTGTGCTCCTACAGCGGTTCCTCTTTTGGGGGGGGTTCGAGAGGTGCCCGGAGTGGGGTGCCACACCCACATGACTGGAGACACCCCAATAGCTCTGCGGGGTTTGTCCCCTACGGGATAGATCTCCTCTTTCAAGATGTATTTGGCACTGTAGGAATCAAATGTGGGCCTCTGCAGCAGTTTATGAATATTTCTTGCTTTCCCCTTAAATCCAAGAACACATCAGATCTCACAAGTTCCTGCTGATTTCTCACCAGTTCTTTATATAAAGTGCCAAAGGGGGTGTGGTCGGAATCTGGGGAAGACCAACCTGCTCCAACACAGAGCGAGTGTGCCTGGATTTTTCTAGCCTGTGGCCATTAGCTGCAGGACAGTTATTAAAAATACTTTGATAAGCTTCACATGTGTATTCTCAGTTTTTACTGCTAGTATTGTTTATGGAGAAACATTTTTCTAAAGTTTATGAAAGATCACTTTGGCAGAAGAAGCCTTTATGCTTAAGTGATTTTTTTATTTTTATTTTTTTCAGATCAGAAACAGAAGAGGTTTGCAGTCCAAGGAGCTGTGGGAAAGAGCCTTCCCCAGGGAACTTTGCAAGGTGGGAAAAGTGCCTTTTGGGGGGGCGGGGGGAGGAGGATTTGTCCCTCCACGGGACTGGATTGAATAGCTAGCTATCATTTCAATGTTATTACTTTTTACCACTGGGATTCAGTGACAATTCTGAAGAAGGTTAATCCCTTACCTGTGCCCCTAAAGCAACACAGTAAGCATTTTAAAAAATTACCCTCCCTTTCCCTTAACAGAGGTCACTATTTATAACTTTGCAGAATATACTGTTTCCCAGGGCCCTTTAATTTTTTGTGGGCCCAGGAGTGGAGGCCAGTTAAGGTCATCACGTGGCTAGGGGCGGGGCCTGATTTAATGCAAGGCTGTCTCGCAGAGCAGGTGGAAGGAGGATGGCAAACTCCTCCTTCCCTTGTTTCAGCCGCTTTACAAGAGCTGCTGTGATGTGTGAACGGAGAAGAGTCCACTTTAATCACCAGCTTTCAATCAAAGGCCTTTTTTTTTTTTAAGATTTTATTTATTTATTTGAGAGAAAGAATGAGAGAGAGCGTCAGAGGGAGAAGCAGACTCCCTGCCGAGCAGGGAGCCCGATGCGGGACTCGATCCCGGGACTCCAGGATCATGACCTGAGCCGAAGGCAGTGGCTCAACCAACTGAGCCACCCAGGCGCCCTCAATCAAAGGCCTTTTTAAAGCTCTTTGTATAAAGGCACAATTCCTAAGAATAAAAAATTCTCCATAGCCATCTCTCTTCTCAGCCGAGTTTTCTTTTGATTTGTATTGTTCAGTCATAGGCAAAAGAAACCAGCATGCTGACCACAGCTATTTTCCCACTTTCGCACATGTATGCGTATCAGACCGATCGCGATCCTGCTGCACTTACGGTTTTGTATTAACTTACTTGGAGAAGCTCATAACCGGTCTCGCAAAAGACGGCGGAGCGATCCTTCAGGATGTACTCGGGTTGCACCGGCGCGATATGGCCATTAGGTGGCGCCACCGGACCAGGGCAGGGATGAGCTGTTGGGGGTGGGGCGGAGAGGGAGGCCGGGCTCAGTGAGGGGTTTTGACGCGGTCTCCAGCGCGCCGCTCTGAATTTAGCCATTTAAAGGTCTTGATTTATACATGGATCCCTTAACACAAAAAGAGCTCGCCACAAGTGGGGTAGAGTCCGGCAGATTTAAAACCTCAAAGGCAAGATTACACTGGGTCGCTTATTGCACAAATGAGGAATTGCAGCAGAGCCTGGGCCTCAGCCAAGGCTGCCAGACAGGCCGGCACGCGGGGAGCCGGTGCGGTCTCCACACTCTCAGGGCAGCGTCTGCTCCGCGCCAGGAACCTGAGCCACGCGGCCCAAAACCAAGCCACGGTGTCGGTTGGAGGAATAGAGCTAGACCGCATTCCCAGCAGTTACTTTCAACTCCGTGTGCCTCAGTTTCCTCAGCTGTGAGATGGGAGGGGAGAATAGTCACTCACCCTCCAGGGTTGTCGTGAAGGCCAGATGTAAAGCACCTGGGCTGGTGCTTGGCTGAGCTTGGGCAAGAGTGGGTGCATGTGACCCCCCACAACAGCCCTGTGGCACAGCCTTCACTGCTGGGGGAAACCTGGGGTCCAGATCCTCTCCGGCACCCAGGAAGCCTCCTGCTTCCCCTTGAAAGCACGTGCCCACAGTGTGCAGGCCTCCAGGGAGACTGTCCTTCACTCTTGCCCCCAAACCCTGGCCTGTTGTCACCCCAAGCCTTCAGCCCAACCCCACCGCTACCCCTCGGCCTGTGCCAGTCTTCTGCTGAGTCACCTTCTCCCTCCAGCCGCTGGGTTCTGTGTCCCAGGGCAGCTCTCAGTCCCCTGCAGGCCCCAAGTCCCCACCTCCAGGGACAGCACTGGCCGGCATCCGGCTGGCACCTTCCCTCCCTCACAGAAGCCTCAAGGCTCTGTCCTGGCCCTTCCCCCACCAGCCTGGCAGACCTGACTCCCCCTTTGAGTCGCTCTGAAACCAGCACTTCAGTTGTAGTTTTATTACTTTGACCTACAGGAAAATGAAAGACTCTCAGAAATGAACAGGAGACAAACGAATTGTTCTGAGTGCTGGGCTCCCTCCTCCCAACCAGTCTCGCCCCTTCCCACATTTCCAACAGAGGTGGCCCAAGGGTTAATCTTTTTTAATCCAATTTTCTAATTTAAAAACTACCCCAATCCCTTTAATCCAATTATCACTTCCTCTATGCCACACCCCGCACCCAATGCTTTCCCTGCATTAGCCCATGAATTGACACCTTTTGAAGGAGATGTTGTCCTTAATTGGAATAATTGGGACATTAAGGCTCAGAAAAGTTATATGAGAGGTTCAGTGTCACATAGCCAGGAAACAGGTTTGTGCCTGGACACAAACCTAGGCAGTCTGACACCCAAACCTGAGCTCTGAGCTTCCTGGATGGGTGGTTGGTTAGAAAGAAGGATGGATGGATGGGTGGATGGATGGAAGGAAGGAAGGAAGGAAGGAAGGAAGGAAGGAAGGAAGGAAGGA